ATGTGTTCTCCGATTTGCTCTCCCCCCACCCCAGTGTATCTTGGAGAGTGTCTCATGTAAGCAGTAACTCTGTTGCTTTCTTTTGAATGGCTGCATAGTTTATTTGAAACAGCTTTGTAGAGACATAATTTATGTAGCAAGGTCACCAATTCAAAGTGTATAATTCAATGGTTTTTCATATATTCACAGAATTGTGCAACCATCACAATTGAATTTAGAACATTTTCATCACCTCAAAAGGAAACCCTGGTACACCTGAAACTAATATAACATTGTATGTTAACTGTACTGGTATTAAAATGAAAAAAAAAAAAAAGAACAAGAAACCCTGTACCCTTTAGCCATCATCCTCCAAATCTCCCATTCCCTTTAGCCCTAGGCAACCACAGATTTACTTTCCGTCTCTATACATTTGCCTTTTCTGGACATTTCACATAGATGGAATCATAATACATGGTCTTTTGTGTTCTGGCTTCTTGCACTTGGCATAATGTTTTCCAGGTTTATCCATGTTGTATGTAGCATGAATATATACATTGTTCTTTTTTATGGCTGAATACTGTTCCACTGTGTGGATATGCCATAATTTGTTTGTTCATGAGTTGATGGACGTTTAGGTTTTTTCTACTTTTTGGATGTTATGAATATTACTGCTGTGAACGTTGGTGTGTGATTTTTTTCTTTTTCTTTTTGTGGACGTATGTTTTCACTTCTCTTGGGTTACATACCTCGGAGTGGAATTGCTGGGTCAAATGGTATCTCTATGGTAAACTTTTGGAGGAACTGCCAAACTTATTTCCACAGTAGGTGCACCATTTTGCATTCTCATTAGCGGTGTGTGAGGGCTCAGATTTCTCCACATTCTCACCAGCACTGGCTCTTATTTCTGTTTGGTTATAGTTATTCTTGTGGGTGGAAAGTGTTTCTCAGTGTGGTTTTGATTGACATTTCCCAGTGACTAATGATATTGAGCATCTTTGCATGTGCTTATATATTTATACATATTCTTTGGAAAAATGTCTATTCAAATCCTTTGCTCATTTTTAAATTATCTTTTTATTGGGGCATCTGGGTGGCTCAGTTGGTAATCCTCTAGTTCTTGGTTTTGGCTCAGGTCTTGATCTTGGGGTCCTGGGATCCAGCCCCGTGTTGGGCTCTCTGCTCAGCATGGAGTCTGCTTCTCTCTCTCTCCCTCTGCCCCTAGCCGCACTCATGTACACGTTCACTCTCTAAAATAAAAAATCTTTAAAAAATTATCTTTTTATTGTTGAGTTGTAAGAATTCTTTATTCTAGGTACAAGTCCCTTATCAGATACAGGATTTGCAAATATTTCTCCTATTCTGTGAGGTTGTCTTTTTGCTTACTTGATAGTATCCATCGAAGCACAAAAGTTTTTAATTTTGTTGAAGTCTAATTTATTGGGTTTTTGTTGTTGTTGCTTATGCTTTGGGTGTCCTATATAAGAATCCATTGCCAAATACAATGTCACAAAGACTTACCCCTATGTTTTCTTCCCCCCCCCTTTTTTTTAAAGATTTTTATTTATTTATTTGACAGCGAGAGAGGGAACACAAGCAAGGGGAGTGGGAGAGGGAGAAGCAGGCTTCCCGCCGAGCAGGGAGCCCGATGCGGGGCTCAATCCCAGGACCCTGGAATCATGACCCAGGCCAAAGGCAGACGCTTAACGACTAAGCCACCCAGGCGCCCTGCTCCTATGTTTTCTTCTAAGAATTTTCTAATTTTAGCTCTTACACTTAGGTTGTTGATTAATTTTCAGTTAATTTTCGTATATTGTGTGGCAAAAGGCTCCAACCTCATTTTTTGGCATGTGGACATCTAGTTTTCCCAGCACAATTTGTTGAAAAAACCCCATTGAATTTTTATTCCATTGATCTGTAGGTCTATCTTTCTGTCAGGGCCACATTATCTTGATTAAAACCTTTTTGCTTTGTAGTAAGTTTTGAAATTGGAAAGCGTGAGTCCTCCAACTTTGTTCTTTGGTTATTCTGGGCCCCTTGAGTTTCCATGTCAGTTTTAGGATCACCTTTTAATTTCTACAAAGGACTCAGCTAGGATTTTGATAGAGATGGCATTGAATCTGGAGATCAGTTTGGGAGGGTGCAGTTATCTTAATCATACTGACCTTCTAATTGTGATCATGGGATTTATTTCCATTTATTTAGAGCTTTTAAAATTTCTTTCATCATTGTTTTGTGCTTTTCAGAGTATAAGTTTTTAATTTCTTTTGTTAAATTTCTAAGTATTTTATTCTCTTTGATGATGGTATTGTAACTGGAATTGTTTTCTTAATTTTATTTTAATTGTCCATAGATAATATATAGCAATACAATTTATTTTTGTATATTGATCTTGTGTCTTGCCTCCTTATTGAACCCATTTATTATATTAGTTTTAATAGTTTTTTTTGTGAATTCCTTAGTATTTTCTTTTTTAAAAAAATAAATAAATAATTTAGAGAGTGCCAGTGGGGGGAGGGGCAGAGGTGGGGGTCGAAAATCTCAAACAGACTCTGCACTGAGTGTGGAGCCCCATGTAGAGCTTGATCTCCTGACCCTGAGATCACGACCTGAGCCAAAATCAAGTGTCACCGAGCCAACCAGGCTCCCCCTTAGTATTTTCTATATACAAGATCATGTCATCTGTGAATAGAGATAGTTTCACTTCTTACTTTCCAGTTTGGATGTCTATTATATAGTTTTTCTTTTTCTTTTTCTTTTGCCTGTTCTGGCTAGAACATCCAGCACAGTGATAAATAGAAATGATGACAGTGGTTAGTTTTATTCCTTATTTTATGGACAAAGTATCTGGTTTTCCATTAATAAGAATATTATTACCTGTGGTTTTTTTGTAGCTGCCCTTTATCATGTTGAGGAACTTCCCTTCTATCTAGTTTATTGTTTTTTTTTTTCTTTCTAATTTTTAATCAAGAAAGTGTTTGGAATTTTGTCAAATGCTTTCTTTATGTCTGTCGAATTGATAATACGGTTTTTGTTTTTATTCTGTTCCTCTGGTGTATTATAGGCATTGATTTTTGGATAAACCAACTTTACTGTAATCCCAGCAGGTCATGATGTATAATTCTTTTTTTTTTTTATGTTGGATTTGGCTTGCTAGTGTTTTTGAGAATTTTTGTATCTATATTCATAAGCTATATTGGTCTGTAGTTGTGATGTCTTTGGTTTTGTTGTTGGGGTATTACTAGCCTCGTAGAATAAGTTGAGAAGTGTCCCCTCTCCTATTTTAAGAGTTTCTGAGGAATTAGTATTAATTCTTCTTTAATGGCAGAATTCACAGCTGAAGCCATCTGGACCTGGGCTTTTCCTTGTGTAGCTTCTTGATTACTAATTCAGTTTTTTTACTTCTTATAGATCTTTTTAGATTTTCCATTTCTTAGAGTCAGTTTTGGTCATTTGTGTATTGCTAGAAATTGTCCATTTCATGCAAGCTCTTTAATTTATTGGCACTCAGTTGTTCATACTATTGGAATGTAGCTCACTGTAACCCAGCAGTGCTGCAGGGAACATCCATCCTTGTGCTCACACGGAAGTGTTTATAGCACGGATCCCTGAAAGAGGAATCACTGGGTCAGACGTCTGCACGTGTAATTGTTGATTGTTTCTGCCCTTTTGTCCTCTTCCTGCTCATCTTTCTAGCCTTATTGATTTGTGTAAATTCTTTCTGTCTAGGAATCTTGGTCTCCTGGAGAATGGAGGTGGTGAGGGTGCACAGAGCCAGTGGGAAGGATAGGTTCGGGAGCTGTGTGTTTCACGGCTGCTTCTGGGCAAGGGTGCTCGATGTGGGTGCCTGAAGCTCGTCCTCCACGCTGTAGGTTCACACGGGGGGTTTGCAGACCTTGGGACCTGAACCGCTGGGGGTCAGAGACTGTTACCTCTGACGGGCCAGCTGTGGCCTGGGGGGAGCTCATTTTAAGCCCGGTGACTCCACAAAGGTCCTTCCCATGATGGTTCTCTCTGGGAACTCTGCGGGCAGGGGACTCCAGGTAACTGGCCCATTGCTGCCTGCAGAGGGAGGGAGGCATGCTCTTGCTACGCAGGAAGAAGTGACAAGGACCTCCTTGTTTTTCATCATCACAGCTTTCTTTCTTTCCTATTCATCCGGAGACTGTGTTCTGGGTGCTCATTAACCCATGGCTTGCCAGGGCCCAGATGTGGGCAGTGACGTGAGGACAAGAAAGTGTAGCTATTTTTATGGATGGGGACGTGGGGAAAGTGCTCAGAGATCTCTGTGCGTGTTTTGTTAGGGTAGAGCCTCTAGCCCCTCACCCCTCTGTTCTACTTCCTTTTTCTGCTTTTTGCCTTTACAAGGCGGGCACCAGAGCAGGTTAAACGTTTGGACTTACATAGTTCGAGATTTTTAGAATCATCTCTCCAGGTCCCTGGAGACTCCAGTTCAGTGGTTCCCAGGCTTTGCTCACAAGCTCTTAGGGCCCCAAAGAGATTTTGGGGGCAGGGGACCAGGGCAGGCACATTAGGAGCTCAAGCCCCCAGGGGGGCTCTGCTTTCACTGGCTTTATATGTTGGAGTTCTAAATGAGATGGCAGACCCGAAGGCCATGTTGCCACAAAAGGTGGAAGACTATTTGTGTTGGGCACCCTGGCCCCACTGTTGGACTGAGAACATCCCAAACAGGACTCCTCCTGGAGGCTGAATCCCGGGGCTGACAGGTGTCTTAGGGAACTTGGCTTTTCCCTGGGGCCTCACAGGCTCCTCTCCCTTGATGGAGACTGAGTGCCTGCTCTCCCTGGGGACGTTTGCCAGCCTGGACACGTGTCATTTTTTCTTTTGTTGTAGGGGGTGTTCTGGCCCTCCAGCCCTGCAAAGGCAAAATCAAATGACCTTCTCTCTTGATCCAAATGACTCTTGTCTCCAGGGAAGCCCTGGGCTAGGCTTACAGACAGTTGGTGAGGAGACTTTCTCAGCAGACCTCCTGGCTGACGCATTCTCTTTGTGTCTTTCAGTCGGCGGAGTTCTTCGAGATGCTGGAGAAAATGCAGGTGAGCATCCCCAAACGGCTTCGGTGGGGAGGCCGAGCCCTGGGTGGGGGGCATGCTGCAGTGACTGTGGGGGCAACACCACCAGGCAGAACTTGGGAGCCTTGGAGGGAGGGACAGAGAAGAGAGAACTTCCAGTCTGCTGGCTGGGACTACCTTGGGTTGTTTTTGTGGTGAGTGGCACCGAGGATTCTGGGAAAGCTCCTGCCTGACGAAGGGAAGTAGATAGAAAGCAGAAGCCCTCCAGCAGAGCAGATGCGGATACCATAACCCCACAGATGTGGAGAGGGCTTGAAAGGGTCCATTGTTCCTGGAATGGGTGGGAAAGAAAGTCTGAGAAAGGAAGCCCTTTCGTAGGGGAGGTCATCTTGTGTCTGGGAGGCAGAGCTGAGGGGGAGAGACCCACTGGGGTTCAAAGCCGCACCTAACACTCATTAGCACAAGTTTCTTCCCTTTTCTGAGCCTCTGGCACCTGTTTTTTTTGTCTATTCACAGCACCATTTTCACCTTCCTCCGACACCAAATGTATGGTGGTTTCTCCCCCACCAAGCAATTCTGTGACACCAGCCGGGTGTCCTACACCTACATTCTGACCCTGTCTGCCCAGAGAGCATATCCGATCCCACAGGGCAAGGGCTCTACCTCACAAGACCGCCTCCCCCCAACTTCGCATGCCATCATCACCAGCAGGCCGTAGATTTGAGGTTCCCTTGGCCCCCTGCTCAGGTTCGATTAATTTGCTAGCATGGCTCACAGAACCCAGAACCACTTACTTCCTGGATTATCAGTTTATTATAAAGGGATATAATTCAGGAACAGCCAGATGGAAGAGTTGTAGGGGGCCAGGTGCTGTGGGGATGGTCTCAGATGTATCACTCTCCCTGCACTGCCATGTGCTCATCAACTGGAAGCTCCCTGAGCCCATCATTTGGTTTTTTATGGAGGCTTCACCAAGTTGGCAGGATCGATTCACCCTGCAGCCCCTCTCCCCTCCCGGGAGGTTGGAGGGCTGGGACTGAGCGTTCCAGCCCTCTAATAGTTCCCCTGGCATCCAGCTCCGTCTTTAGGGGTGTCCCCAAAGACACCTTGTTCACAAACTTATGAATAACCTTAGGGCTTTCACCTTTATAGCTCTGGAGCTGTTTCAGAACTAAGGACAAAAGATGAAGTATTGTAACAAAAGATGCTCCCAAGTGTTCCCATTGCTCTCATCACTTAGGAAATTCAACAGGTTTTAGGAATTCTGTGTCAGGAATGGGGTGAAGACCAAAATATTTATTATTACAAATCATGCCACAGCCCCTATAAATAATAATTAAAATACCCGCATACACAGTTGGGATGAAATGAGATGGTATATGTAAATACTTGCTAGGCACTGCAGAAAAATCAGTGTTCAGAATGGATTTGGGAGCCTTTCTAATCACCCCTCACTGAGGGGCCAGGGCTCACAGGTAAGAACTGCTGCCCTGGGGAATATGGGAGGGGGGCGCCCAGAAGGCTTAACTGATACAGGTGGGAAGGATGGGAATAAGATGTTGATAATAGCACATGTATTTTTTTTAAAGGTTTTATTTATTTAGAGAGCATGAGTAGAAGGAGAGGGAGGGGCAGAGGGAGAGGGAGAGAGAATATCCCCAAGCGGACTCTGCGCTAAGCAAGGAGCCCAGTGAGGTGCTCAGTCCCATGACCCTGAGATTATGACCTGAGCCAAAATCAAGAGTTGGACGCTTAACCGACTGAGCCACCCAGGCGCCCCTAGCCCATGTATTTTAAGCACTTTTCTCAGCTCAGACATTGACAAGTGTTAGCTCCTTTCTTCCTGGTAAAGCCCACAGGAAGCAGCTCTGTTATCATCACTGTCCCCTTTTCACAGGTGGGGAAACTGAGGCACAGAGGTCTTACTTAAAGCACTCAAGGTCTCGTGGGTAGTAAGCAGCTTCAGAGCCAGAGGCTTGGCCATTATGTTATGATGGTTTTTGCCCTAAGTAGATGCTACAGGCTCAAGGAAGGGGGATTCTGTGGTTAAGGTCTGGAAGCACTAGGGGAGAGGCAGACAGGGTGCCTCTGCAGTTCTGAGATGCAGGTGGAGCTGCTGAGGTTCTTGCAGGGAAGCCAGATCACCCTAACGGTGGGGGGAGGGGGCACTGGAGGGGACAATACTGTTGATGGTTGTGCCATTGTCACCAACAAGTTATTAAGATCCTCCTCTGTGCCCAGCACTGTGTGGACTGCAGACTAATTCTGTATACATTTAGGGACCTTAGTCAAGCTGTGGAAAGAGGATTGGCATGTACTTTGACAGCGAGTGGCGGGAGGTGGTGTGTAATTACGAGCTCAGCTGCCTGGAGTAAAGTGGGGATTCTCACCCCGAGCCCATGGGGAAGCTGGCAGGGGATTTGCAGCTCACCCTACCTTCCCTTCATTTGTTTCCACAACCCACCGGTCCCTCGTACCCCCCCCGGAGTCCCCTGCTTCCCTGACAAAGCGCTCCCTGAGCACATAATTCAGCCTCACTTGATTGGACTCCATTGTTTCTGTTACTAGATTGCAGGGCTTGACTTCTCAACCAGATTGGAACCCTCTTGAGGGCGGGGGTCTGGTTCCTATGCTCCCTCTGTATGTTTGTGGCAGCAGACATCCAAGGGTCTGCCTATTCCATCTCTGTTGAGGCTGCCAGGAGCTGAAATCAAACTTCCTGGGGTCTAGGTCCCTGCCTTGTGCCCCGCTGGACCCCGGCCTCTGAGAGGCCCAGTTTCCAGCTCCTCTGTATGTACACAACTCACATATGGGGAAATACTGGGAGTGAAGCAGGTGGCATGGTGTGGCCAGATCCTGTCCTTGGGTGTGGGTGCCACCTCTTCTCAGGCTGTGGCTGTGGAGACTGGGTCTCAGAGCCGTCAAGTGCCCAGGGTACTCTGTGAGTCGTGGGGAGCTGAAACTCATATCCGGGGCTCCCCCCTCCCAAGAGTGGAGGAATTGGAAGAAGGGCACTATCCCTATGAAGCAATATGGACTAGGTACACAAGATTTGGGTCCATTTGGTCCTGGGTCCATTTGGTCCTGGGTTCAAAGTCTTAACCCTGACACTGTCTAGCTGAGTGTCCTTGATCAAGTCTCTCTACCTCTCTGATCCTCTATTTCTTCATCGTAGGGAAAAGGGGAGATAATGATAATGCCTATTGCAAAGGTAGACACAGAGCTGGGTGGTGGCTCTGTCAGAGAGGGAAGGGGAAGGGAGGAGGTTTGCTTTCCTGCCCAGGTGCTGTTCCCAGGTAGGGGTGACTCATGCAGGACAAACAAAACAAACTCCTGACATCACCCCCCTCCCCATCTGCCCAGTTTGCTTCCCTGGACAGGGTCTGCCGGGCCACCCAGGTGGTTTTCTCCCTGTGTGGGGAGAGGAGCACCTGTCCAGTGGGAGGGGTCCTCCCACGCTCTCCTGAGCAATGCTGCAGGGTGACTCAACCCCGAGAAGTCTAGAGAAGCCGAAGTCTAAATCCGACTGAGCAGAAGCCCTGGGCTCAAGGGCCTGTGGGATATGATTGTGCACTTGCACAGCCCAGCTTCAAATCCAGGCCCTGCTACTCACTAGCTGTGCAACATCAGAAGCAGCCTGCTCCTTGTGCCTCAGTTTCCCCTTGGTATAAAGGTGCAGAGGGCTTCATAGGAGACAGCAGTGGGAAGGTGCTGAGGAAGCTTAAAATCCCCATGTTATGCCACTGCTATTCAACATAGTACTAGAAGTCCTAGCCACAGCAATCAGACAATGAAAAGAAATCAAAGGCATCCAGATCGGCAAGGAAGAAGTCAAACTCTCACTGTTTGCAGATGATGTGATACTTTATGTGGAAAACCCAAAAGACTCCACCCCAGAACTGCTAGAACTCATACAGGAATTCAGTAAAGTGGCAGGATACAAAATCAATGCAGAGAAATCTGTGGCATTCCTATACACCAACAAGACAGAAGAAAGAGAAATTAAGGAGTCAGTCCCATTTACAATTGCACCCAAAAACATAAGATACCTAGGAATAAATCTAAGCAAAGAGGCAAAGGATCTGTACTCA